ACCTGTACGCATAGGCGTCGGGGATATCCGTGGTATGCGAGTGTTGCAGTTATCCCCCCTTTCAACACTTCCTCGACGAAAGTGAGATATATATATGCGTTATCTGCGTGAATAATCTCTCTCGTATACCGTGCAGGATGCAGTATAGAGTGTTCAGTACGTTGATTACGTCAGCGTACTGAGAAAAAATTGAAAGCGACGGTTGAAAATAAAAATAAAAAAAAGAAAGCGGATCCAGTTGGTATTGTAGCGAAGAGCAGCGGCTGCTGGATTACTCACTCTCGCTAAGTGCAGAAAAAAAAAAATGAAATTTAGTGAAAGAAAAATTCGTAGCACGTGATATACGAACACACGACTTCCTTCGGCCAACCATTGTTTTCTGCCACTGCTTTATTTTCCTCGGGTTGCCAGGTATTTCAATTAAATGAAATGACGCAATTTATCGCGCACTTTTCGCAGGTTCTCGTTATAGTTTGGCCTCCCTATGACTGTGACGAACGGAAATGATGCACTCCGAGTGTATTTTCTACAGTTCGTAACACACAAAAGCTCGTTAACTCGAGACCCGTTGATTCGTGAAGTTCGACAATTCGGACGTGTTCTATGGTCGCGGCAAGGATATGTATTGTTATGTGGCACCAAACTATCGTCACTATGGTCATATTTGGTCGCAATAAGACAGAGTCGGACGATTATCAGAGGTTACCAAACACGCAAAGTACCACGAAGTACCACGTTAGACGCAAAAGAAAGAAAACAGCGCTCGCGCAAAGCTGGCGCGGTACTCATCGCCATCATCATCAACCCAAAACGTATGGTAAAGACGACAACGACGTTTCGGAATGATTTGTGGTTACTAAAGGCAGGGGGGTGTTGAGCCGTGACGACATTGAGAACATAGTTGCGAGTGACGAAAATTGTGGCTTCAATAACGCTCGTAATTTACGCAAAGTAAATGCGGTGTTTACGTACTCTTGAAAAAAAAAAACGAAATTCTGTCTACATGAAAGACATTTCTTTAATGCTTTCTTCATATTTGGATAATTCGGGATTCGGTCAATTGTGACATCTTTCTCTTTTTTATATGCCTTGAAGTACGAGTGAACAAGTTTTTACTGTGGAGCATTTCGCAGCCAGAAGAGAATAGACGAATCTATATGCCTGTACTATCGCTCTCCGCCGTGGACTCCCTATTTGTGGCAACTTTACGCAAGAGTGAAAAGAAGTTGCTACATAAGTAACCAGGAAAATAAAAGCCAGGCATAAAAAGCTACAAAGAAAAAAGCGCGAATCTCTCCGGCGACGTGTACAAACACGCTAGCGTCGATAGCACCGCTTTTTTTTTTTTTTCTGAAGATGGAGGCTGGCGTGAGCGGCGGCACGATGGTGCAAGTTGTTCGTCTATAAAAATAGCCACATTGCATCGACTGTACGGAATATGCAGCCACGTCACTGCGGCTGCCATTTTTGTACAGAAGCCGCAGCGAAAGGCGCGATTTCTTATCTCTCCAGAACGGCGAATTCCAGACCGAAATTCCAAACGATGACGTCACGTGAATACGTGACGCCCATCACTACGTTTCAAGTGGCCGCGACGTGGTACGGGAGTGTTAATGCGGTCGCGTGCCACTTGACTCTAGCGTTATATACGGTACGATCCCCGCTAATCTCCGCGACAGCGCCCGCGGCAAAAACCGCTTCGGTTGCTGGCACGCGCAGAACAGAGATATCTTTTACCGTTGCGTTTTACTGCGTGATTGCCAGCCAGTTGTCTTGGATGTGCTGCGCAGGTATGCTGCGCCGGATGCGTCACACCATGTGTTTTCCATATAGCACAACAGTTTAAAGTTAGCTGATGGCATCGGTCGAACGGAATGCAATGATCTGGGGTGATTTTCCTGGTGATTCTGAAAGGCTGAGATTGGAGAAAGGGTAGAGGGGGGGGGGGGAGGCTTCAACTCAGGAACTTATTTTTATGAGCGGTATCTAACGCAGTGTCCAAGTTGCTGCTTGTCTTATTTCATTAATGCACCGGTTGTGATGCTTGCGTCGACATTTTCCTCACTCTCGGGCGATTTTCGAGACCGAATGATGTTGGTAGAACATTCACTCATCTGACTATCGGCGTAGCCAAGGTCAGGAAAGTAATGAGAAATGGGAGTGGGTAGGGGCGACGTAAACCCCTTTCCTCCATCTCTCTCTCTTTTTTTTTCAATTTTAAGTCTGTACACGTACTCACTAACACGAAGTAGTTACCCCCGCCCCTTCTTATCCCCCTACCTCTCCAGCAGTATAAAACAGTCAATCAGGAAGTACCCCTGGTCTCGACTTAGCGGACAAGCACCCTTATGAAAACTTTGTCATGTTTGGGCTTGTTTCACCTTTTGCTATCCAGTCAATCTGGCAAGCGGGCTGCACGCTATAGAATCAGGCGTAATCCTTCTTGCAGTTGCAGAATGTAACCTAAACGAGCTAGGAACCCGTGTCCAGTAACAACGCCGGGTAGAGTTGCTTCCGGCCCCGCAAAGCCTTTATGAAAACGCGTGTCGCAATGCACCGGCGGAATTCACGCATACGGTAGGCGACACGACGCACTCCGAGCCCACGGTGGGAATGGAGCGCCGGGGTCAACGAGTGGCGGGGTCAAGTCGACCAGCCGCCGCCGCGACTCTCTCCGTCCTCTCCGCCTTAAGCGCTCGCTGTTTTTTCAAGGTGAAATGGTGTTGAAGTGTGACTCACATGATGACCGGCAGCTTGATTCATATAGAGCGCGCGCGTTCCGTAATGCGCTGCCCTTTGTTGCGTCATCCTCCGCGGCGCTGATTGGAGGCGGTGAATTCGCTCTCCAGGAATGCGGGAACAGAAACAGGCCGCGCAAGGACGATGTAATTATTATCATGAAAGTTATCTCATATTTTTAAGTGAGAGAAGGTCATACAAAGAGAAGGATGTACAAAGCTGTGGTGGAATGCCCGAGGTATGCGTTGCCTGAGTGGCCATTACGTATCGCCATTGAGAACTTGACGAGAACGGTTTTAATGACTTCATTGAACAAGATCTCACCTGGTTACTTTGAATGTTATGTGTTACTATCAATCTGGCGCTTGCCAACGGCGCTTATTCGCTGTCGCTTTTAAATCGTCGTTTCAGTGTTTTCCCTTAATATTGGTAACGACTGTACAACAAGTGAAATGTAACATCTGATGATCAGTAGAAATTTCGTGTGCCTAATAATCCGCATTCGCTAGGCGTTATTGCGACGAGTAGAAGTCGGACGCTTACCACTGTTCTGAACAGCTTACGGGTGGCATGTGGCGCTTCGCCGCGTGATGCCATTGACTTTGAAGTGTACTTTTTGTATTTCGGTTGGCGTTGGGTTGACAAAATTTGCTAGACGGGACCTCGAAGGTCCATGAACTTCAAGGTTACCGATAAGCAACTGCTTAGGCTTTCGTAGACGCCGTCAAAGGCTTTGACGTCACAGCGTTTGGAATTTCCAAGTGGCGTGGCCACCAGCATTTTGTGCTTGTGCCTGCCTTTTCCCGCTTATCAAGCGTCTTTATCGCGGCAAGCATGATTTTGGCAGTGTGAAAATAAAATGTTCTAATGACAGAAAAACGGCTTTTCCCCCCTTTAATTTTCTTTTAAAGGGACGCATTGAAAGTTCTTTGAGGGTGCACACATGAAGTCTCTTACTCGATCTGCACACAACGGGCTTTCTTGAGAACCTACTCAAGGAAGTGGACAAAAAGCTGAGGTGAAGAACAAAGCTCGACTCGTGTGGGCATTGCGGAACGCTTCGCATTTGCCAGACCGCGCGAGCGAACTTTCACGACAGGAAAAAGTCGACCGGGGTCGCAGTGCCAGTTTTGGAAGGTCAAACCCGCGCGCTTGAAATAAATTGAATTGCTCCGGCGTAGAACAGTTGGAAGCCGCCCGCTTTTCGACACATTTTTGTTCACGCTGTGTCGAGGTCTTTGTAAGCAAAGTGTTGGAGTATTACTTCGCAATCTGTACTTTCACGGTTAAGCGTAGACGCGCAGCGGCCGAGAATGCTTCAAGTACTTAGGCGTGCTGTTTTTGGCGAAGTGGTGATATTTAAAGAAAAAAGGAAAATTTGCCAGCGTAGGGTGTGTTCAATTAGCTGGCACATGACAGGAGTAACTGGACGTCTCCGATAGGCCCCACCGAATTTAGGTTTGATTAATGTTTGTTTAAAATTACATGAACGCTCAAGGCAAGACTATGACATAGCATTATTTCTGTGTGTCGTATGTTTTCATCAAGTGTATTTCTTCAATGCCTTTCTTTTTTTTTTGTCTTCTTTTGTTTTAGATGTGGCATTTGATTGTCACCTCGGTGGCCCACTCGTAAAACATGACACAGCTATGGAAAAAAAATAATCTAAAAATGTTTGCGTGAAAACACGAGGTCAAGGAACAGCGAAACAAGCTCGATTGCTTCCTGTTACAACCATGTTTTCAAGCAGACATTGTCAAGATGAACTTATTCGAGCTAGAGCGATTCGCAGGATTGCTTTAAAATATCCACTTGTCTTGCTGAACACCCACACAAATATTGCACAAATTTTACCCGCCAAGTCTTCGGTCGTCGGGCTAACCGAATCATAGATGCTTGTCTCTACCGGAACGGCGTTCTTTTGTCGACACCTCCAGAGATAAGGAAGACAAACTAGCGATTGGTTATTACACGACAGAAGTCTGGAACTGATCAGATTGCAGCATCGCCAGCAGAGCTTCCGTACTGCAACCCGAATGGCCTCTGACCTTTTTTTTTTTTTTCGCTGGAGATATGCATCGGTACGGGACGCAGTGGGTGAACGACGAATAAAAAAAATCAAAAGGGTCGTTAATAGGTCAATAAATTACGTGACCTAGCTCACTTTGATCATAAAGAGACAGCCGGCACACAATCCGAGCAGAAAGAATAAAAAGGTAGTTCTTGTTTCGCTTTGCAGTGACTGCAAAAAACAGACTCACCTTCGTGGAAGCAGAAGATGAGAAGCAGAATAACCTCCGGCCATGGTGCGAGCATTCTTGTCGAAGAGGCCATCCCTCGTTGCTTTCAGAGGAGTGTCAAGGGAGACGCTGACAGTCGAACAACAGCGCGAGGCATGAAACCGCGCTCACAGGAGGCGCACCTGTTCGACGCACCACACCGCGTCGCACAAGTGTCACGATCCGCGCGACAACACCAACCACGCGCACTGCCGAGCAAAATCCCCCTCAAACTAACGCGCACCAAGTCCACAAAACGTTGCGGCCGCTGCGCGAGCTTTCTCGGGAAAACTCGTGACGGCGATGTCGTCTGCTGGCGAATACGGGTGTGAGCAGACGACAAGCTCGAAAAACAGAACGTCAGTTCGCCGGTGTGACTTCTTCTTCCTCGACTCCACTCGCGCCACGAGGCGACGAACCAACCGACCCGATCAATCAATCAGCTAATCAATCGCGCGATTTCGAAAGGACTGGGCCTCTGCGGAAACGCCAGAGTTCCTCGAAGACGGCGGGATCGCAGACACGTGCCGGCACCCGACGGCGCTGGCGGCGAGCGTAGTCCTTCCTCCACGTCTACCTCCGGCAACGTCGGAGGCCTGAATGAGCCAGCCGGCTTCGAGAAGAGAGGGAGGCCTGAAGGGGGAGGATTCAACGGAGGTTGCGTGTGTTCGGTAGTGCGAGGGGAGCACGGAGGAGAGAAATTGGTCTGCGGACGGGACGGGACCGGCCCTTCAAACGTGGTTGGGGGGTGTTGTGGTGGTGGGGGCAGCACCGCCGCGTTTGTTGTTACGCTTCCTAGCGAGTGAAGCAGAAGAGCAGGAGGCAGAAAGAGATGAAAGCGAGGAAGAAGAGAGAGGCCACGTCGTACGGGGTGAGGAGACAGAATCTCGAAAACCCACATGGGGGTCCTCGAAGAAGCTCCAGCTGGAGAGAGTTTTGTGCGTGCGTGCGGCTGTTGCGCTTCCGAATGCTCCCGCCGCTCTCCTTGGTTTCGGTCGCTTCCTCTGCTTCTCCTTCTACCACGATCGACTTGTGCGCAGCACTTCGCGAGCAGCTTTTGTGCGTGTGGTCGGTCTTCTCAGCAGGTCCGCGTCTTCTCCGTCTGGCCGGCTCGACACCGACCGGCCGAGGTCCGCTGATGAAGAAGAGGAAAAAGTCTCTGGTTTCGACCAGAAGACGGGCCTTTGCCGGTCCAGAAACCGGAAAGGAACAAAGAGCCTCCGTGCCTTTCTAACACCCAACTTTCTTTTCTTTCTTTCTTTCTTTCTTTCTTTCTTTCTTTCTTTCTTTCTTTCTTTCTTTCTTTCTTCTTTCTTTCTTTCTTTCCGAGGCGGTAATGGCGGGCTATTCGGTTGTACAGGAGATTGAGCACAGCAGTGCGAAATTTAGGAAAACATGCACGGACAAACAAGGATGCGCACAACAAAGGCGCTGGTCTCATCTTTTACATGATCCGAACGCGGAAGGTACAAGACCTACAGCCGTGGATAGGCCTACATAAGTACCGCCCAATTCGGCATGCCCCTTCCCCTCCCTCTTTTCTGTGCATCTCTTCATTCGTTTATTGCCTATGGCTCCTGACGATGCCGCATGCCGGTGTAGTTGGCTCGCCGCACGCTCGCCGGCGCTACTGCAGCTGTGTCGACGCCATCTTTCGGCTAACTGCGTTTGGTTTGCAGCGTTTTCGACTCGTCTTTTTACGTGCCGCAGACGAAGACTCGCGGTGCGCCCTCGGGCTATGCGAGGCATGTGTGTGTGTATGCGCGCCGACTCGGAGAGATGGAGTGGCCGGCATCGTTTGTCAAGGCAGAAGCCTGTTATTCTTGCCGCTTCTGCGGCGTATTCGGTACACGTCTTGTCTGGACTGGATGTAACCTCGCCTTTCTTTTTTCCTTTCTCCGGTCGTGTACGTTCCCTTGTCTGTTGTATTGACTTGCTTGTTCGTTGGCAGCCTGTTGTGCGGACAGCCAAACGATGGCGTCCTCCGCACTGAATTGCTTCCACTTTTACATGGCTGACAATCTGTACCAGAAAGCTGAAACCAGTAACGACACCGGTATGCTGTACTTCACGAATGCGCTATGTACAGGGTCGGCCGTTCCTAAGGTGAACACCTCCGTTATAATGTAACCCGCCAAATCTAGAACGCTTATTCTACTCCACAAGGGAACGTCTCAGTTATAGTGTCCATAAACGAAGTAGGCATTTTTTTTTCTGAATTATGCATGAATCATCCGCTTTTACTGAGGGGCTGAATCGATGTGAGGTGTTCGCTTGAGATGTGGACGACATTGCTAGAAGTTTAGCCGTCACGATCGTCTAGTATCGACTGCTGACCCTACGACCGCTCAATCAAATCCTGCCCGCTGTGGTCGAATTTTCGATTGATGCCTAAAATGCTTGCAGCCCACGTGCTTAGATTTATGCGCAAGTTAAAGAACCGGAGATGAAAGAAATTTCCGGCGTCCTCCACCACGGCGTCCCTCATAAATATTACGGTTTTGGGACGTTAAAAGCCAACGATATTTTTATAAGCCTGTGGCAGTTGACAAATGTGTTATGTACGTGTGCCATTATGAGTAAGATGCGGGCTTCTGCACGTCGGAAGCGACGCCTACGGAAACTCATTTCTATCCGGAACGATTCGACACTGAATTCACTTGTTTGGCAATAGTGAATTTCTTCTACACGGTTTGGGCAATTGGTCGTAAGTGTATGTCTGTGCGTGTTTTGATGAACTCAGTGTGTTTTGAGGAACTGAGCCAATGCCATGCACGGACGTCCTTTTCCACTTGTGGCACGACTGACGTGTCCATCGAGAAGCGAAGGCTAGCGGTTGAGAAGGCGGTGCGAACTGGGCTCGATTACGCTATCATGTAATTACGCTATCATGTTACTACGCTATCTTGAAAGAAAAGCTCAAGAGTTCCCCGAATTTCTCCTTCATAAGTTGCATTCAACGACCAGCTCGAATTGCGCTGCTGGTAGCGAGCATTTCTAAAAAAAGGTAAAAGAAGTATCTTAATATCCTTGCAGAAACGCGACACATCTCGTTGAACAAGATACTGCCGTCAGGTGTATCGATTGTAAATATTTCAGAACCCTGAAGACAGAAAGAAACCTTTGTTAACAAGAGTGTTTGAATCGCCATGAACTCGTGTGTTTTGTGGTCTGTATATCTTGCTAATAGTGCACAGCAGGGGCTTAGACAGCCACTTCTTTTTCTGGGAGAGGCAGGTGGTGCCCTCTTTTTTTATCAGGGGTGTGGGCCGGGCAGCCAAATGGTTATTTTTCACCATATATGTACGCCATGAAGAAAAAATATACGGGTGGGAGGCATGGGCCTCGTAGGTCGTTTTATTGGCTTAAGTTTAGTTGCGTTATGCCTCATCCTAAATTTGTTTCAAAGTGTGTGAGTGAAACAAGACGTTCAGCTGTGTGCCTCATTGTGACTGCGTGCACTGCATGTGGCGTCGCATGAAGGGGGACAAGTGTGGCTCACATATAGATTCGACGAAGACCTGGACTCTTCTCCATTCACGCAATGTGAATCCACCACCACTGGAAGGCTCCTTACTCCAGATGTACCTTCATGCTTCTTTCGAATACGAGACACAGCAATGCCCCCGACACAAGCGCACCTTTAAATAGTTGAGGAGTGACGACGCGAACGCAAGAGAAGCTGAGCAAGCAAACCATACCACTGTACCTTGAACATGTGCAGATAAAAATTTGGCCCACACTCCTGCCCACCCATGCACATTGCACTCTTCTTCACCTAAGAGACGATGCCTCTCTTGTCTACTTCCTGTCGACCTGCGTACACGCCTGCACTTACCAGAGTACTTTTGATGGACTCTGCGTTCATATTCTTCCATGACAAGTGGCTACCAACTAGAGACCTCGGGTATCTGTCGTTCCAAATGATCACACCACCGTCTTCCTATTTTCCGAAGGGTTGCGGGGTCGGTCTCAACTTATTACGATACTGTTTTCTTCGTTTGCACGCAAATATAGTTACGACACCTGTTGAGTTCTTACGCGTGCTTCTGAGAACGGTGAAGATTTCAGCAGCATGCAGATGACAACGGACCGAGGATGATAGGGGGCGTGCGCTTATCTAACCCGGCGTCGGCCGTCGGCACACCTTCAGCCAGGCGGAACGTTCCAAGTATAATTGTTATCTATCCCGGCACGCCATAGACCGCAGGGCTTCAGGAACAAGAAGGAAGTTCTTACGGTGGCAGCATTGTTCCGAATCCCTCCGAAACGTCCTTTGAACTGGTGCCGTAATAGAGAGTTACGGAAATACACGTTACGGAAATACGACACGGTTCCTTTCCGTATGCGCGTACAATGGTGGCGCACTTGGCACTCGTCAGCCGGTTCCATGTTGCTGCCATTCCGTAACGTGTTTCCGTAGCTTGCTAAAACCCTTTGATCTCTACATCTGCAGATGTAGCAGTATTACGGCTGCACCGCGTAACAATCAACAGCACAAGAGGATTAAGGCCCTTGGACCTATAGCGTATGTATATATGCGTTAGCACAGCCAACTTGAACGTGTGTGTTCGTGTACATGTGTGTGTGTGTGTGATGTGTATATGTGTGTGTTTTGTTGCGGTTGCTAAAGAAATGATCCGGGCTATTTGTCCCTTCTCCCCCGCCTCCTTCACATCACGCCGAGTACAGGCCCCTTACCAACGCCGGCGGCGTCGTTTTCGACACTGATACGCGGTATAGATGAACGCGATACTGTCGCGGTTGGTTGACCTCGGGGGGAGTAAAAATTAATTTGTCCCGTCCATCGCGCTGTTCCATCGGACTAGCCAAGCGTGCAGACGAAAACGGCGGGGAGGAAGAAAGACCGGCCATATACGCTGTGCTCAATCTATCGGAAAGTGTACTGCCGAGCGGTGAAGTGGAACGCGCGGGTATATCGCTGCTCGCGACGGCCGCCTTCATCTCGTACACCTCCGGCACATTGTCTAAGGAAACGAGGAGGCCGGTTTCTTTGTCGCTTGTCGTTATACGTGGTACGTGGAAGACCAAGGAACCATCTTATCGAACGAGTTCTTACGTTATCGCTACCGTTTCCTGCTATACGACTTTCTTCTTCAAGCACGGTTCATGGACTAGCCCACCTAAGAACCCTAGTGCAACTTTCTCTCACTTTTTAAGAGCTCGGTAAATGGGAGACAGGCTTGTTATTCATCCACACATCTCGTGGTGGGATCACGCTCGCAGTAAAGCGCTCAGTACAGGCCGTGACAAGGTTAGCTGTGCTCAAAACGTGTTTGAAATGAACTAACAAGGAACAAGGTCTAAAGTAATATATATATATATATATATATATATATATATATATATATATATATATATATATATATATATATATATATATATATATATATATATATATATATATATATATATAGCCCTCAAATAATTGCATTATTAACTTAAAATTGCTAAAACATTTTCGCCAACATGACGCTGACTCCGGCGTGGCACGAGAGAGGGCGCCACCACCTCGCCAAGTTAGACGAATGTGGGAATGCCCCTACCCCTGAGCCACCTAC